TGTGCGGACAGACAGTGTCAAAACACCTGAGAGCGAAGCCAATCCGCTGCTCGAGCAGCTAGAGAAGAAATGAAAGGGGGCACGGTGGGCCAGGGACCAAAAGACCAAGCAAGATCTTTTTGACAGTCTCTCATCTATGTACTGTATGAAGAACTGTGCACCAAAGATTGGTGCAAACGGAACACAGTGTCCTCCCTTGGGGATGGCGTGTACCAACCAAACGGAGGGAATGTAGAGGGCGGCCACAGAAACAGCAGGAGGGGAAGCCGTTCTCCTGTTCGAGGCTTCACCCCAGTGGGCGTGGCATCTGCTGCAAGGGCTCATCTGGTGTCTCATTGTGGCTTTTCAACCAGCCTTGGAGAACCTTCAAGACACCCATTGGAGTGCATCCCAAGCCTGGAACATATTGGGACGTGAGGAGGCAGCGCTGTGGCTTCCCACTTACCCCTCTTCTCACAGCTGATGGTTGTCCCCGGAACAACAAGGGGAGGAAGAAGCCGGTGGCAGGCAAAGCTGCCCTGGCGTTAGTTCCTGCGTCCTCCCGCTTTGAACCCGGCCTGTGTTCTCTGCACTCTCTTCAGAACTAAACTAAACCAGAAACCAAGAATGGCAAACACTTGACGCAAGTCCTGTCTCATTGCTGGGCCTGTCTGTGGCACTGTGGCGCAGGCGCCCCCCCACAAGCACACCCCTCAGTATAATGTTTACAGCCCAGCTGTCCAGGCCATGCTTTGAAAATGCACATTTTTACACTTTTTTATATTTTTTACAAAGTTTTTTTATACAGCAGTCTCTATATGGATTTATATAATCACTAGATGTGATCCCATAGAAATGTATGTTATTATGGTCTCTTTGTTACATATGCATATGCCACAGTTATCTCCATTGTGTTACTTGTTTTGGTGGCATTGGCTCTTTTCCCTTGGCATGCTGGGAAACAGGCCTGGGCCTCCACACAGGGTCTGCTGCCATGTCCATCCATGTATGTCATTCATAATACTCAGTCCTGTATCTCTCAGTAAACGTTAAACTTTTACTTATCCTTCCCTGTCTTGTGCTTTCTTCTGTGGTTCGCTCTGCTGGCTTTATTGCATTTAGGAGCTCATCCATTCTTTGGCTGTTGGTGGTGGGGTGTGCTAAGTGCAGAGCCAATGAGATGGCACTACACACTTAGTTGTAAAAACACTAGGGATTGGGGGCCTGCAAATAAAGTTGGGTCGGTATTTGTTTATTGAGATATTTATACCCCACTTTTTTCTCCCATGAGGACCCAAAATAGCTTGCAACATCATTTTCTCCTTCTCTGTTTTATCTTCACAACCAAAACTCTGTGATAAAGCTTAAGTAACTGGCCCAAGGTCACCCAGCACGCTTCAATGGCAAAGTGGGGACTAGAACTTGGGGTTCCCAGATCCTAGTCCAATACTCTGACCGCTACACCACACTAGCTCCTTTGTGATAAGGATTGCAGAGCTGAGAGCTGGCACTCACCCATGAACCAGAGAACGTAACTTGCATATGATGCAAAGTAAAAGTGGCTGACCTACCTTCCTTCCTTCCTTCCTTCTTTTTCCACACTTCTCTATGTTTCTTCCTCTCTGATGTGACCTGTTTAGACGTCCATCCCTGAAATAAAGAAGCAAGGAATGCTGGCTGGAGCTGCACTCTTACAGGGGAAAGGAATTTTAGTCTGTTAACATGGCTCTGGCATTTCATAGCAAACACCTGTCAGCCTATGAAAAAAGTGGGAAATATTAGTATATTTAAATATAGGCTAAGTTATTTTTAATTGCTGCTTGCTGCTCGTTCAGGCTGAAGTAAAGAAAGAAATGGTGTGGGAGGAGAGACTGTTTCATCTCATGTGAAGCAGAGAGTCTCTGAGGTTGGTTTCATTCCTG